AGACTGCCCGCTGAGCAGGGAGCCCGATGCGGGACTCGATCCCAGGACTCAGGGATCATGACCCGAGCCGAAGGCAGTCGCCCAACCAACTGAGCCACCCAGGCGCCCGGGACCCAGTTTTCAAAGGATGGCCTGGGAGGGCTTGACTGAGGAGGAATGTTTGAGGGAATGTGGAGGAGGAGGGGGAGGGAGGGACCCATTCAGGCATCAGGGGGTGGAACAGGGGATGAAGAGCATCAGACAGCTTAAAGGTAAGCTGGTGAAATCATATCGTGTCTTATAGGCCAACAAAAAGACTCTGGATGAGAGGGGGAACAAAGGAGTAACAAAATCTGACTTCCAGTTTGCAGCATCACTCTGGCTGCTGTGATGAAAACAGTCCATCGGGAGACAAGGGAGGAAGCAGGAAGGTCAGGTACGAGGCCCATGGCAGCTGAGACCGGGGCTAAAGCGGTTAAGATGATGGACTCAGTTCTGGATATATTTAGGGCAAAGCCAATAGGATCTATTGATTAAATGGATGTGGGATTGAGAGAAAGGGGAGTTGTCAGGGATGACTAGAGTTTTGGGGGCCTGGGCAAATGGAAGAACGAAATCACCATTAACAGACGGGAAGACTTTGGGAGGAGCAGGGGTGGGGGGTGCGGGTTCCTTTTGTTTTGGACATGCTAAACTGAGAAGCCCTTTAGACGTCAAATGTGGTGAGTACCAGCAGAACATACAAGGCTAGAGCTGAAGAGGATGGGCTGAAATTATAAATGTGGGAGTCACCAGCTGTATAGCAAAACATAATTGTATGTATTATCATACAGGATTTTCATGTATGATCACACGTAATTTGCATGAATATATGTTTATTATCTCCCCCCACCCCTAAACTGTAAGCTCCATGTGGCCAAGGACCATGTCTATTCACAGCCAGCAAGGTACCTGGCATTCAGTAAATAATTTACTGGGCAAATGGAGAAGTTGCCCAATTACTCCCTCAAGAATAGCCACAGCAGCCCATACCATGAGAAGCAGACTCTCTTGCAACCACAGTGCCAAGCCCAACCAGCTCAAAACAGGGCCCTGGGTCTGTCCACACTGGGCTTGAGATTCCAGAACGTAAGTGGATACGCCTGGCACATCACAGAGTCAGATATTTCGGTTTCAGCCCTGCCACATTCTCAATGGGTGGAGCTAGGCCAGAGCCTTGCCTGTTCTACCACCTCGCTTTCTCCCTGGGGTGGCTGGGGGAGGGGCTGCCTTATCCACAGCAGGGGTGGAAATACTGATCTACTCAGGGTATATGTACCAGGTGGTGGGAGCCCCCCACATGATAAATCCCCAAGTATTCTCTGAAACACGTAAGGACCACCTAGCACCTGAAGGGAAACACAATCCTTCTGGGGATGCATTACGAGTAACAGTTAAAAAATAAAAAAGAATGATAATCACAAACCTTCTAGCTAAAGCAAGATGGCCTGACCAACGGGTGTCATGTCTCTGCTTTACCTGCCAAGTGACTAGGAAGACAGAACTAAGGCCAAAGGGTGACATAACAAGGCATAAGATTTCAACTCAATAACTTTGCAGTTTTGAACAGTTGTCTTTGTGAAGATGAGATGATGAAACAGCTCTGGTGATCTTGTACAACCTGGTCCCTTTCTGAGATACTGAAAGTGTGACCCGAGAGAGGTTATACGACTTGCCCAGGGTCACCCATCTATAGGCCAGGGACTAGAACTCAGGTTCTAGCTCTCTATTGATGGTTTCTTCCCATTACACCAGTGGCAAAGGAAAGGTAAGAGTTACCAAGGTAGCTAGGGAGTTTTAGGCATTAGTGTTACAACATCAAACTATGTCTCTGTCAAAGGGTAAGCTGCAGATGTTACAGGAATGCCAGGTGCACGCTGTGAAGTTAAGAAGGATTCCTTCCCTCATACCAAACTTGTCATCCTACAGAGTTCCCCTTGGCTTTGGACTTTATGAATAAAGCTATTCATGGGGGGCCTACAGAATTGAAAAAATGATACACTAGCAGGTAAAAAAATGCAGATATATACTTCAGTAAAATGTTTACATGAAAAATTCAGATGCTAGGATATAGTCGGGTTAACATTCTAAAATCAACAAATATTGAGTGTTTCCTCTGTACAAGTCATGGTGGTAAGTGCTGAGTGTGTGTGTGTCTACATGAGCATGTGTGTATGTGTATGGCTATATGAGCGAGTTTGAGAGACAGACACACAGGGATAAGACAGAACCCAGGTCTTCAAGGTTTGCAGGGTAGTTACTGATACAAGACTATAAACATCAAAGAAATGACTAATAATACGGGGTGTGTAATTGTTAAGTAAGTGGCATAATGTGTCTACAGGAGTTCTCAGAAGGGGGCAGTTGGAATTGTCAGGCAAGGTGCTTCTAGTAAGATACGGGATTTGAGGTGAACCTTGAAAGGAAGAAAGGCTCTTGAAAAGAATGGGGAAATGGCAATGAGCAAACACTGGTGGCCTTGATTCAAGGAAGAGAAAGAAATCACGCCTTAAAAAAGGACTAGACCAAACTGAACAGCCTTGAAAGTTAAAGTTCTGGGACGCCTGGCTGGCTCAGTCGGTTAAGCAGCTGCCTTCGGCTCAGGTCATGATCCCAGGGTCCTGGGATCCAGCCCCAGCTCCTTGCTCAGCAGGGAGCCTGCTTCTCCCTCTGCCTGCAGCTCCCCCTGCTTATGCTCTTGCTCACTCTCTCTCGCCTATGTTCTCTCTCTCTAGCAAATAAATAAATAAAATCTAAAAAAAAAAAAAGTTAAAATTCTTACAGAAGTGGAGAGGTGCCAAAAGATTTCTAAACAGGGGAACGTGGCTGGCTCAGTCAGTAGAGCATGCAACTATTGACCTTGCAGTTATGAGTTCGAGCCCCACACTGGGTATAGAATTTACTTTAAAAAGTACTTTCTGTAAAAAAAAAAAAAAAAAAAGAGTTCCTAAACATAGAATTATCGGGTTCAAAACAGGTTAATTTAACAAACATCTTCTGGAGGCAAGGCACAGTGTGCAGGCATCGGATGAATGACCGAAGATGAACTTGCGTTTGGTGGGGAACTAACTTCAGCCTGGGAGGTGGGTTGGACTTGAGATGACCAGGGAGTGAAGCAGAGTGGAAGGGGCAGGTTTGTACAACTTCCCAAGGAAGAACCAGGTCCCAGTAGCTGACTGGCTGGGAGGCAGAGAAAGTCAGCAGAGAGACATCTCCAAAGTATGAAGTCAGGCAGCTGCAAGAATGGAAGAGTTAAGGGAAGCTGGCTGACGGGAGAGATGAAGAGCTTGGTTTTAGAAGTGTTGAATCTAAGGATAACTACATCAGTGTGTCCAGTGGGCGTTGACTGATACGAGTCTGGAGTCTGACAGGTAATAGTTGAAGATACAGTATACGGGTCTTCCCAGGGGACAGAGTTGTGGGACTGAGTATAATTTCTCTGGGAGGGAGTATGAGAGGAAAAAAAAAAAGGTCAAACTGAACATGGGTGTGTCCACACCTAGAAGGTGATGTGATAGTGAGCACTAATGATCAGAGGAAAAAAAACAGGATAATCTAACTCGGAGAAGGGAAGGGGGGGATAGTTTCAAGTACGAGAGTGTTGTCATCAGTGAAAAATGCTACAAAATCAATCATGTGGACTGAGCACATAAATAATAAATATTCGTTGAATAAATGAATGAATGAAAGAAAGAAAGCCCTTGGGTTTGAGAATCAACTTTCCTCAGTCAGAATGGCCAGGGTTGCCAAAAGTTTTTCAATGTTAAATTTACCTCGTCCCTCCACCCCCAGAAAAACATGTTTCTTCTTCCACCAGTCATCCTGTCCACCACACAGACATCCTTCTCTGCTTCCCCCACGTTTCCCCTCATCTTCCTTCCCAGTTTCCACAACCCAAGCAACACACCTTCGGTGTCAAAGGACACAGGAAATTCCAACTAGTTTCCACTTCATTAACAACTATGCCTGTGGCTCCTCATACATAAAGGGATCGGTAGCGATTGGGTGGAAGAGGATGCTGCGCTCTAGCCCCCAGCTGCACTACTAACTAGCTGTGTGGCTTTGGGCAAGTTGTTCAACCTCTCTGGATCTGGGCTTCTACACAGACAGGAGGAGTTAGGTCTATCTAGACTCCAGACAAGTTTTGAAGGTCCCTTTCAACTCTAAAGTATACGATTTTTATCATTGTCAGAAGGTCCTTGCAACACCCTCAGAGAAGGAAGTGAGTACAAGACCCGGGGAAATGAACGCCAGACCTCTTCCCAGGGCGAAGCGCCAGTATAGGAGGAGTGTACCAAGAAAGTAAGAAGGCGCTGCCCGGCCCTCGCGGATCACCAGGGAACAGATCCCATCCCCAAGGCTGGGAAGGATCCCAAAAAACCCGAGCGCGATTCCCACCCCACACCCCACCTTTTCTAGAGACTCCAGACAGCCGGGAGGCTCTAAAAAGCCCTGCGGGAAAAAGAAAGATTTCTTTCCCAGAGTCCTGCGCTGCTTTTGCCAGTTGGATTCCGGCAGACACGATCTGCAGCCCGATAATGACACAGGCAGTCTCTGGGAGAGCGACAGTTCTCGCTCGCTCCGAGTTCTGGGGACGACTGGCCGCCCGCGCCGTGCCCCGACGGGCCAGTCTCCGACCCCGACCCGGCTGCCAGGCCAGCGGCGCCCCCGTCCCGGGCCCCCTCCCCTCAGCCGGCCCCACTGCGGTCTGCAAACATTTCCTGCCCCCACCCCCACCCCCATTCGGAGCTTCCCAGTTGGAGCGAGTTGGGCTCGCAGCCGGGTCAGCGCTCGCAGTTGCCCCAACTCGGCTCCCCCGGCCGCTAGGGCTGGAGAGCGGGCCCCCGTCTGGCTCCGGAGCAGCCATCTGGGAAACCCAGGCGCCAGGAGCCGTGGGAGGTCGCTTGGGAAGCCTAGCGCTCGGGCGAGGAGGGGGACAACTGGCGAGGCGCCCGTGGCCCTGCTCCCTTCCTCGTCGTTACCTGCTCGCTTGCGGGGGTGTCCTGGGGCGGCCGGCCTCTCCCGGCGCTGTCTCCCCACGCAGTTGCCCATGCTGGCTCTTCAGCCGGGCCCCATGCACCGGAGGCGGCGGGCTTGTCGCTGCTCAGTGCTTCTGCCCCGGACGGCGACGTCCGGGTCAACGGCTCCTGCCTCCCCGCATCGGGCGCTCCTCGATCTCCCCCCGGGGGCGCGCTCTGCCCGGGCGCCGGCTTCGCCACAAACTTTGCGGGCGAGGGGAGTGAGGGAGGTGGCCGATTCCCCAGCACAGTCCCAGGTGGCCGGGCCAGGGGGGCCCGCGACGGTGCCCGGCGGGAGACCAGCTCCGCGGGAGGGGCGGAGAGAGGGGGCGGGCACCTTCGCAGCTACTCCCTGATCGCCCCGGGCTCCCAGCTGGGGCCGGCCCCCCGGAGCCTGTCACTCACCTGCCTAACCCCGCCCCAGCCCGGCCCAGCTCCCAGCCGCCGGCTCGCGGTGCCCGCGCCTCCGCCACCGCCCGCCCCAGGTGCGCATGTGACCGACGGCACCGCCCCCTCGGGCCGGGCCTGATTTTCTCATTGGCTTCCCCCAGGGTGTGTACCGCCTCTTGGCCCCACCCAGCCAGGTGTCCGCCCCGCCACTCGTCTCCCCGGGAGCCGAGCCGGGAATTATTCGCCCTCAATGGCCCCCGGCTGCGAGCCCAGCAGCCGCCTTCCCTGCCCGCGCCACCGCCCCGACTCCAAGCCCCGCCCCTCAGGGAGGGACCGTCCCATCCCTCCCAGGAGCCGGCAGGCACGTGATCCAGGGAGCGCCCCGCCTCTTTAACCTTCGCCAGGCAATTGGCTCAGGAGGCGCGTGCGCTTAGAGGCCCGTCCCGTGCCACCGCCCACTTCCCCTCCCATGGTCTCTGGTTCGCGTCATGGCCGCCGCCGCCGCTCTGGAGGCGGTGGCGCCTACGGGCGCACTGTGGGGCCTCGTGCACGACTTCGTCATGGGTCAGCAGGAGGGCCCCGCTGACCAAGTGGTTGCAGGTACGGCAGACGGCGCCGCGCGGCTTCCGCATGGGGCCGACAAGAGGGAGCGGCCTCAGTACAGCCGCCGGGCGGGAAGGGAGTGAGGGACAGCGGTGACTTTGAGAGATTGGTCTGGGGCTGGTTGTGAGCACTGCGTGCTTAAGAGCCGTAACAAATTGAGAGTCGCTTGCGTCTTAAAGCGCCTTTACGCCCCTCATCTTAGTAGATAGTCACTCTGTGCTCCAGCTGGGGTTAAGAGAATCATTACCGAGTCACAGATGAGGAAACTGAAGCCCGGAGAGGGCAAGAGACTCGCACATTAGGCAGAGGGGGGCAGCTGGGACTCAGACCCAGGTCCTCTAGTCTAAAATCTGGTACTCCCGCCGCTAAACCACGTTGTTTGGCGGAGGCTGACGTGAGAAGCGGCATCTTGGGCGGCCTCAGCTCTAGTCGCGTGGCATGTTGGGAGTGGCCGAGCGGCGCGATCTCTGACTGGCTGTCATAGGAGAGAGGAGGGGAGAGGCCGGGAGCGGGGGGAGGGGGGGGAGTTTGAGATGTTCTGGTATGCTTAAGACTTTTCCTCCGTTTCTTGGTAAAGTTCTTGATTAATTTGCTTCATGATTTTTTTATGTGGTGTTTGTTTTTAATCTTTTCCCCAGATCTCCAGTTTCTTGCTTTTGACCAGTTCAGGGATCTCTTCTCTAAGATCAGCTTAATCAAAATTTGAATAAAACAAATTCCAGATTTCCTTAGGAGTCAGAGACTTCACTGTTTTAGGAAAAAAAAAATCTAAAAAGTTGAGTGTTAGGGGGCCTTCAGACTTAAGTAATAGAATACCAAATTACCTCGTCAATACAAATGAGCCGTGTCTATTTTTGGAAATTTTGAGTGCTTGGGAAAAGGTAAAAGATAGTTTTCCTAAAAATTGAACATATTTTATTTATTTATTTATTTTAATTTTATTTACTTATTTGACATAGACAGAGCGAGAGAGGGAACACAAGCAGGGGGAGTGGGGGAGGGAGAAGCAGGCTTCCCGCTGACCAGGGAGCCCGATGCGGTTGCTCATCCCAGGACCCTCTGGGATCATGACCTGAGCGGAAGGCAGACGCTTAACGACTGAGCCACCTAGGCGCCCCTGAACATATTTTAGAATATGTGAGAAGTGGATAAGGTGAATCTGTGAGAAAGTATAATACTTTGGTCCTTAGCAGTTCCACTTTCATTCAGTCATCCCACCATTATTGAACACATGTTATTCTCCAAACAGGATACAAAGCGATAGGAATATAAATACAGATTAGTTTACATCTGTGCCCACCAGGAACTTATACTGTGGTGGGAAAGACAACCATGCAAACAGATAGTATTACACCTTAAAAGGGCCACCCCCTATATGGGGTATGTGCAAGGTGGCAAGGAGGCATCAAAGAGCAAAAGCCTGATGCTGTCATTCGTCCAAATTTTAACTTCTTACAGCTTTATAAAGTATAGTATGTTATCATTGCCATTTTCCCCAGTGTTTTCTTATGAAAAATTTCAAACATACAGCAGAGAATTTCATAACAGGAACACCCACACACACCACCTAAACTACCATTAACATTTATTTATTTTTGTCATTAACATTTTAATATAACTTGCTTTATCGGTTATCTTTCCATCTATTTAAATTGCAGATATCAGTACACTTCCTCCTAAATACTTTGGTAGGCATATTATTAACTAGAATTTGTTTAGTTTATTTTGGTGTACAATTTATATTCAATGAAGTGTACAATCAAGTGTAATGTTCACTGATTTTGAAAAATGCATATGCCTACCCCCTGTTGTTACAGCAGTGCCATTTGTAACTATTCTTTCACATTTATACATCATGAACACAATAATTTTGGATTTTTCAAATTCAAAACACTTGAGAAGACAGCATGGATAAGGACAGCCAAGTGCTTATAAATAATACCTGTGTAAAATTTATATTTTTTATGCCTGAAAAAAAACGGCCTAAACTATTGTCTAGTTTAAATTTAACTCAGCTCAACTAAGACTGTAACACTAGCCCTGTTGTAATTTAGCCCTCCTGACTAGGAAATGGGGTTGGTAGTAACATAAAGTTAGAAAAGAAAAGGTTTGGTGGGGTTGGGTTATGCATAACCTTGGATTCCAGGCAGAGGGATTTGAATGACCTATTGTAGGTAATAGAAATCATTGTAGATCCTTGAGCAAGAGAGTCATATAATGAAAGTGAATTTGGGGATTAAATTGATAATTCTCAATCTGAGATGACAGCCCTAGTTAAAATTTTGAAGGCTGACAGAGTTTTGAGGCATTCCCAGAATAAGATGTGCTTTCTAATCTAGCCTGAGTCTAGTTTTGTTAGCACTAAAGGGGCCAGCTTTCTATTCAGCCACTCACAGCAGCAGCCTGTCCTACAAATTGTAAATGCAGAAGGAACACCTTGTAATCACAGGCAGCTATGACCAACTTTGTTTTGTACCTTTGCACTGGAGTTCCTGAAGAAAGTAGGTGTCAGATGTAAAGGTACAAATAACGGAAGAGAAATGACCCGGTAGGCTAAGGGTTAAAGTTTTTTTTTTTAATTTTATTTGACAGAGAGCGCGCAGAAGCAGGTGGAGTGGCAGGCTGAGGGGGAAGGAGAAACAGGCTTCCCGCTGAGCAGGGAGCCTGATGCGGGGCTTGATCCTAGGACTCTGGGATCATGACTTGGGCTGAAGGCAGATGCTTGAACAACTGAGCCACCCAGGTGCTCCCTTTTTTTTTAAGATTTTATTTAGGGGCGCCTGCTTCTCCCTCTGCCATTCCCCCTCTCCTCCCACTTGTGCTCTCTGGCTCTCTCTATCAAATAAATAAATAAAATATTTAAAAAAAAGATTTTATTTATTCCAGAGAGAGTAGGGGGAGGGGCAGAGGGAGAGAGACAAAAAGACTCTTCACTGAGCGTGGAGCCCCGATCCCAGGACCCTGGGATCCTGACCTGAGCCAAAACAGAGAGACGCTTAACTGACTGAGCCATCCAAGCACCCCAGGGTTAAAAACTTTTCATCCTAGCCTTCAAAGGTTGCCACTACCTGGCCCAGCCTTTATTCTTACCAGGCCCTCCTGGACCTTTAGTGGCAGGCGGCTGCCTGGATTTGCTATTTCCTGAGTGCTTTCCTTCCCAGTTCCTTTCACTAACTCCATCTCGTCAAAGTTAGACCTCGGATTCAAGGCCCAGCTTGAGTGCTCACTGCCTGCCCCCCAAGTGTTTTCTGATTACTCCAGCCAGACATCATCTCCCACTTCAAAATCTTTGTGGTATTTATTTCTCAACCACTCATTTATTAGCACTTATTAAGCAGACTTGTTCATAACCCCTCACTTATTAGAAGACTTGTGTCGTAGCTATTTCTATGTATCTCTCCACATCCTATCCTAGGCCTACCACCCGAGTCTACTGGAGACTAGCATAAGTAAGTATACAGTAAAAAACTATGTAAGTGAATGGAATGAGAGATGTTAAAGGAAGAATCTGTGGAATTTGGGGCCTAACTAGTTACAGGGCTTGAAGGAGAAGGAGGACTCCAAGATGACCCCAAGCTTTTGAGACTGAGGATGAGCAAAAGAGAAGTTTCTTTGTCCAAAAATGGAGGTTGGGAAGGAACTGATTTTGAAGAGTGTGAGGTTTGGACATGTTGATGGATATAACTTTTCTTCCTTTCATGGATTTTCCTTCGTTTTGGTCTTTATTGTCCCACTTTAGTGGGAAACCACTATTCCTGAAACCGAAAGATTGTTAAACAACAATAAAACAGTTCTGTGAAATGTCTGTGGCATCCTCAGCAGAAAAGGCATTTTGAGAGCTTGATTAGAACGGAGTCCTGTTTGGGATTTTTCTCTTTCCTGCTCCTTCACGTCCTTCGCCCTTCCTCCATTGGCTGCTCCTCCAGATTCTCAAGAGGCTGCAACTCGGTCAGACAGAGGTCTGATTGTGCATTCTGCCAGTCTCATATAAATACTTCTTTGATGACTCCTCAGTGTTCCACATGAACTGGTGCCCTGCTGAGGGAAGTGTGGGTAGTTAGGAGGTGCTGGTAGGTCCATTTTTAGAGAGTAAATCTTGGACACGCTGGAAAAACTTAGGTCTACTTATGTAGGGAAAGGAACTTAACGCTTGTTTTTCCTTAATGCCAGTGAGACTACCTTTAGGAAAATTAACTCCTTATTAGCGTCTTTTATCCCAGGTGTCCAAGTGCA